AAAAAAAAAAAAAGAACAAGTTGTATAATGGGACAAAAAATAAGCATCTCCATTAACTTACAACATCGTTTAATTTGTTCATGAAAGTTGTATAAATGGGACCAAAAATAAGCATTTGCGCCGTCAGCCTAATTATACAACTAATTGCAGCATATAGTCAAACATGATAATTTTCCCCAATTATCTATCATTTGCTTTCATGGCAAAGCCAAAAGAAATGGACAGCTAAACCCTTTTTCTGCATGATGCAGTATTTGCGCACATTTTTACAGATTCTAACATGCTATTAAATAACTAAGTAATAGGTTATGTAATCTTGAATTTCCTTTTAACCTTGTTTTTGGGCTTTTGATGTTTTTTTTTTCCTTGTTAAGCATGCTTTTTAAGTATTGAGCCGCGGGACGGAGACATATGATCAGGCGTCGGGCAGTTCGGGCCGCCGCACTGGCGTAAATTTTACATTTTGTGTACTTATTAGACCAAAGTTTAGATTATTACTACTATTATTATTATTATTTGGCTATAATGATTCATACAATAGAAGACTTGTAATGATCATCATTAATGTAATAAGTAGTACAATAATCACTGTAGACGTGTATTCTCACTCCCAAATACTTCAATTATACTTAGAATGAAAGTTTTCCTAAGATATTTATGTGTTTTTAAGATACTTGCTTTTATAAGGAAGTTAAACGAAACAAGTTGCTCGTGAGTTCAATTCAAGAACCTGAGCTTGAGCTCGTTTAAGACACATACATTAGGCTTCAAATATAAAAAGGTTTACGTAATTTTCAAAACTTCTAAATGTAACTCAATTCGTCTCGTTAAGATTTTTTATCGAGCAGCCCGAGCTTATTTATTGTCTTGCGCGGTTCGAGCCAAAGCTCGAGTCCTGCTGGCTTGTTTATAGCTCTATTTGTTTACTTTTAACAACACTGAAGTTAGGGAATAGTCTTTGTAATTAATTATTTGAAACATAAATAGAGAAAACATAAGGAAAATTATTGACCAATCCATGGAAATGAAGAAGGATACATAGCAAATATCACACATGAGACTATTAGGATTTTAAAAAAAAAAATATAGTGAAGAAAAATCAAATCCACAAGACTCAGCAGTCAATGCTAAGAAAACCCCCCCACAGAATTGGCAGCATATGACAGCAACTTGAGCATTGTAAACAAAGGACCACATGACCTCCCAAAATATGAGTGACACATGTGGCACAATCCTATTTTTCAGCCTCAAGTTTTTTCAATAACCCTTAGTCCCTCTCATATAAATGCAACTTTTCAATTCATTTATTCGTATTTAACCGTCAGATAAATAGTTGATCTAATGGTTATAAACCCTGACGGAATGGTTAAGTAACAAAACCGTAGAATCTCCCTAAATGATAAGGGCAAAAAAGAATTTAAGATGTTGTAGTGCTATTTGAAGTTTGATACATTCATTGGTTAAATTATGATACTAGGATTCTGAAAAAGAAAAAAAGATAAACAAATCCCTATAACAAGAGAAGAATGCTTACTTCACAAACAATTGACAATACCTTAAACTCCATTATTCCAAAATACTTCCACTGCCCAAGAAATTAAACATAAACATTGCAAAAAAGCAACAGTCCAATTTTTTTTTTTTTAATAAATATATTAAAAAAATCAAATAAAATCCTTAAAAGAATAACAAGGAAAAAATGAGCTACTATTGCTGCTAAGGACTAAACTTTCTCTTTATGCGCCCATCTTTATCTGCTTTATGGCTTTGGTGGCCAAACCAAATGGCAAAGGGGGAAACATGTTATGTATTTAGTCTCTCTCTCTCTCCACACTTTTGCTGACCAGAATTCAGCACTGCTATTACCGTGCGTCCTGGCACACTTAGCAAGGTGTGTCAAGACAGTTTAAAATGAACATATTACATAATAAAATGAACATGTATAAACTAAAACCAGCCAGGGTCGTTTTAGCCTCTGAACTAAAGCAATACGACATTGCTCCCCTGACCCCACCATCCATCATGCTGGGCCCCGGCTAGGATTTCGAGATTGGGTTAAAAAAAAAAATTTGAAGAAAAACACACACACACACACACAAACACACACCAATATGGGTGTGTGCGTGGGATGGAAAGGGAGTCAGTCTACTGTTGCTTCAAATCTTCAAATATATCATCAAATGCGAGTGCTTAATTTACTTTGCTGTTAATAATTTTGCTGCTGAGACTGAGAGACAGAGGCTGGCTTTCAAGCAGAAAAATAAATAAATAAAATTAAAGTAGGGCAATAAAATAAAATAAAATAAAATAGAAAAAGCACGCTCTCTCTCTCTCTCTCTCTCTCCTCTTTCTCTCTCTCTCTCTCTCTCCCTCCCTTTTTATCTCTCTCATAATTGCATTGTCTCGTTCTTAAGTTAGTCTTGTCTCATTTTTGTGCCCATTCTTGTTTTTGGGGGTTCTCGAGTTGGGTTCTTATGTACATTCTTCTATAGTCGATTTTAGTGAGTGTGGTGGTTGAGTCGAGTTGAGTTGAGTTGAGTTGAGTTGAGTTGAGTTGAGTTGAGTCGAGTCGAGTCGAGTCGAGTTGAGTCGAGTGTGCATTATTCAGCATTATAGAGGCAACCCACAAAAAAAGATCAAATCTTGCCCAGAATGGTTAAAAGCCCATTTGCAATTTCATCTCTTTTCGCATGAAAATTGGAATCTTGGAGCAATTTAGGACAGATTAAAGGGCTCGTGTGTTATTTTTTACTATTTTCTGGGGGGCTGAGAGGGTAAATTGTTCAATGATTGTCGCATGAAGGATTAGTTGTGCAACGATGAGAGATGAAAATTCCAAGGTTCTTGATTCTTTCGCTTGATGAATAACTGTAACATTATTTTTTATTTTTTATTTATTTTTTGGGATATATTATATCAGTTGTGTTTTTGGTTATTTTGTGCAGCAGCTCTCGTGGTCTAAGAAACTGTTGAGAAAATTGTTTAATCTGAAGAGCAAAAGAGATGAATTTCAAGATGATGAAGGTGTTGGTTATGGAGGTGAGT